ATAAAATGTGGCAGAACTTTAATACCTTTATAATACATTGCATCTTTTGCATATAAGCAACAAATTAGTGCTGCTTTCAATTGCTAGGAGCACACTGCCAACAATTATGAGGAACCCGTTTCCAAATTTCATACTATTAGCTTATACTATTACAGTTTGAGTCTGTACCACATTATGCCTGGATTATTATGTGCAAACATCATCAGTGTTTTAGCATTATGCAGTGAACAAGTAATTTTGGTTACTAACTTCAATGCTCATTTTTTACTTCAACRTCCAGTTGCCTTAAGAGTTTAATGTCTTCAAGGCAAAGATCCTATTGTTTTGAGGAATACCATGTACACTTGCAGCTCCATTTACGTTACAAATGACAATAAAATATATATTGCACAGATAAGACTAGTAGCTTATTTAATAAGATACATGGCATTACAAGTCCTATTACCAGAGTTTTGAACTGGATCATGCTTAATTATGGCTAATGAATTCTTGGGAAATTTTAGTATCAAAAATCATAGCATTATTTTCATTTCTCAATGAATATGTTAACTATGAAAAAGTGAAACAAAAGGACTGGTAGAAGCCTTAATGATTCTAAGAGTATATTCAATTGCCAGTATATATCCATCTATCCAATTTGCAGCTTTGAGATGGTAAAAACTTTGAAGTATACATACAAGGCAGAAAATTTGGCTGCTTAACTAATTCCTTACTTAAATAATTAAAGCAAAATTAAACTAATAATTTTATATACAATGAATTAAAATATTTAAGTCTGACATAGTATTGTGTATACATACATATATATGTATATGTACACACACATACTCAAATCTTATCAGACCAAAAAAGAAATCATTTAATCCTAATGGATATAAATATTTTTAAAATGAAGGTTTTAAGAGAGAGCATACACTCATAGCAATAGTGATAGGAATAATCAAATCTTGTAATATTCACAGCTCCAGTTTGCCAAAATCTGACAGGTTGATTATTAATAGGCACTATGATGGGCAGCAATAACAATCAGTAGTACAGTAATTCAAGTGCACATCACTCCTTCATAAACGAAAAACTATATTTTTAGCAAGCCTACAAAGTTATGTTATTTTACAGTTTAAAAATCCTTGCTACTTTTATTGTCTCAACACCCACCATGTGCTATTAACTTTAGTTATTAACATCATCTTCTAACCTTCAGTTGTTCCATAGTGATCCAGATGATCCACAATTATAATAAACTGAGATTCCTCATACTGCTTGAGGAAATGTGAAATATAATCTGCAAACCAATACCAGTATATATGTCTGAGTTACTGATCACTTGTTCTTATGTGACATAAACTAATAAAATTTTCTCAATTCATACCTTAAAAAGTTTTCTTAGAAACTTAAATGCATTTGGAGACAAAGTCTGAAGGAAAAAAACTTAAATAATTTTGAGTTATAGCTTATCAAAGAGCTACATTCTGACCTCAATCCATGCAGCCAGCTCTCATCAACGAGAGCTATATTTGGGGGTTGAAATCAGTGTTCTGGCTCTTAGAACATGATTATATGAACTTACTATGTGGGAGGTGAATAAAGCCAAGATAAAAGACAATTTCATTCAGAATAAAATGCAGCTTAACAGATGAAATTTCAGTTAATACAGGTTGGGTTGGTACACGTATACACTATATCCACTTGTTTAAAAATTGCTTAGGTGTTGAAAAATTGATGTGGCACTTTCTGGAAAGTAATTTTTAATACAGGTAAAGGGATGAGTCTTGTGTAAAGTAAACCTCTTTTAAGTACCTTAAAGAGCACCTTGGAAAATGCCTGAATTTTCCTTTCAAATATGTTTACAACGAATCTAATTTTCAAATAATATTTCCCAGGAAAAAAATTCTAAAGTCTTTAGGAAGAATATTTTTACTTCCCCTTTTGGAATTAAAACACCTGTAAAAGTCTGGTTTATACTGGAAGCTTGACGTGGTTTTAAGGGTGGCAACTGCAAAAGCACTACTGAAGTATATTATTACAGATATAGTTTTATATTAGGTAACTGGTGACCAACCCCTCTGAAGTAGTTAAACAAAACTCATAAAATATAATACCTTGAATTCATGACATATTTTAGGGATAAACCTATCACAATCTTCAAACTAGCATGAAATGCTAAAACACCAAAATTTCCATAGCAAAGCCACTGGATGAAGCCTCCCACTCAATTGTAATGTAAATGAAATTCCTGAACTGTTGGAAAATCAATACAACTATATGGTGCAACAAACAGAAGTGAAGATAAGATTTTAACTAGCTTAGGATACCCAATTAAAATGCTCCCATGGCTTTGATATGGCAACTGTAAACTGTAGGGTTACCACAAAATTTGAAAATTATAGAATACTCTAGTTAATTCTTAAGGAATATTAAAGGTTTAATTATCTAATAAGATTTGATCCTTTAATGGTACTGTTCAATATTATTATCCAATGGACAATATTTTTCTATTTTTTCTTTTATAAATAAATATAATGATGATACTTGATATAAGTTTTTGTTTCTGTGGTAACTGTCCTACAGGTAAGCTTAGCAGTTTTTAATAATATAGGAATGGAATACTGTTTTGGAAATTTGTTAAATAGAAATTCACACTTCCATAATAAGTATGTGTATCTTTTTTTCAGGATTATGTCATAGTGCAATATAAATCTTAGTTATGATATTTAGAAGGTCAGAATGTCACATTTTGTGCTGATTTGCATACTTCAATAGTCTGGAGCAGTTGAAGCAGCTAAACTATTTAGCTCTGGGAAGGTTGGAATTCCCATAAGAATTATAGTGATCTATGTATAACATAACATGAAAATCAGACTTCTTGAAGTATAAACTACTAGAGGTATTACTAATAACAAAGGGCCAAAAAAGAGGAAAAACTTCTTCAAATGATTATGGATCAGTACTTTTAGCCAATTTATGATTTTAAATTTTGCCTGATGGAGTTCAATTTCACTCTAGTCGAGGCATTCTTGTTCTTCACCACTGGCCCTTCTGCCATCCATTCTCTTTTCTTTATGGCTGTTGCAAATTTTCCTCATCTCTTCTTCATACTTGATAAAATTCTCCCCAAACCTTGTCCAAGCTTTGAATGGAACAGTAATAGTATTACGGTAAGGTGGCCTCACCTCACTTACCTTCAGGAAAATTCCATATTTATTAGAGCCCACATCAAAGTAGAACCTTTTATTGTCCACTCTGAAAGAAGTCCCCTCTGGGAGTTCAAGTGGGTCATCATCTCCACCTCTTCGTTCTTCTATGTCCCCTTCGCCATAGTCTTCAATCAGCTGAACCAAGGCATCACGAAACTCAATCATTCCTTGTGCTGGGAGGACAATAGTCTGTTCTTGGCCCAAACTGTGGCCAAAATAACCTATCATGCCGGTTCCCCGCATCATGGTTTGTCTAATTCTTAGGAAGCGACCCCGCTGATTTTCCTTTAGGTCTAGGTAATATTTCCTATTGTCTCTCTCTATATAGTCTGTTTTGAGGACACTGTGAGTATGCTCTTCAGACCCCACGGAGACTGGCGGGGAGGGTGCTGAGTGCTTCTGCCTCCTCCTGGAACCTTGCTCTTTGCTGTGGCCATGCTCTTGCCTGTGGCCTTTCAGGCCCAGGTGGGCGTAATGCTCGATGAAGTCCCCTAAACAGTCCTTCAGCTCCGCTGCTACAGACAAGGATAGGGTCAGCTTACTCTTTCTGATATTGTCCTGCCGGCCTCTCCCTATCCAGACTTCGGCTATCTTTAGGAACCGGCCCCGGGAGCTTTGCTTCACGTCTAAGTAAAACCTCTTTTTTTGGATGTCCACTCGTTTGGAGGCCAGCTCCTGGATTTCGGTTGTGCCCCCAGCCTGATTAGGGGTGGCTGAAGCAGCATAGTGGGGGTAGTGAGAGTGCTGGGCCTGGGGATACAGTCTACTCTTGCTTAGGCCAGAGCCCCCTATATTCTTGCCTCCACGGCCGCGGCCGCCGCCGCCTCCCCTCCGCCTGGCTCTTTCCATCTTCAGCTGCAAGTGACAAACAGACACACAGGGTGGGGTGGGGGAGGGGTGTTGAGAACAATCGCAGACGCCCCTCAGCCTGCAGTGCCCCCGCCCAGGACCCCCACATCCGCTAGAAGCCCATGGCTCTGGCCTGTGCCCGATCGTCGTCGTCGGCGGCGGCGACGGCGGCTCCCGGCTCAGCACTGGGTACACAGCATCCCTCCGCCACCCTCGGGCCTCCTATTCCCGCACGCAGCCAGGCCGCCCACCTCAGGCTCCGCAGCCCTGGGGTCCCCAATCAGCAGGCACTCACATCATCTCTGCCATCATCGCCGCCACCGATGCCCTTCACGACCGCCGCCGCCGCCGCCAGCTCTCGGCCCCTCTGCTGCAGCCGCCGCAGCCGCCGCCCCCCGCCTCCTCCCCCGCCGCTGCCCGCACTGCCCCCCGCCGGAGCAGCGGGGCAGGGGCATCGCCTGCGGCGCCCACCGCCGCCGCCGCCCCTTCTGCGGCCGCTGCCTCTCTTCGGGCACCGGCCCGACACCAGCGGGGAGGGGAGGGAGGAGGCGGGGAGGCTGACGGCGGGGGGCGGGGGGTGGACCCCGCCTCCCCGGTACAGCCAGCTGAAGGGATGAAGGGGTCTGGAGCCGTCCCTCGAGACGCGCCCTGACAGAAGCCCAGCGCGTGGGGCTGGAGCGTGCGTGTGAGGTGACGAGACAGGTGTGAAGATGGGAATAAGGATAGGRTGGTAGGTGTGCTCAGACTTCCACGGATTCCGCCGGGATGTCGGACTCTGGCGGCTCACCGGCACCAGCACGGCGACTACACTTCCCGACGTGCTCAGCGGCATCCAACATTTGCGCATGCGTGCCACGGCGCGCCAGCCCCAGTGGAAAGGACTGTGGTGGGAGGGCTACCACGCCGCGCGAGCGCTATCATTCGGGGGCGGAGCCAGGGAAAAGACGGTCTCCCAGAGCTGATGTGTACGGTGCGCGCCAGTGAAACTCCTATGTGGACTCTGCAGCGCCGGAGTGAATTTGGTTGATTTGGTGCCTAGCCTGGATGCCCGGGTTACAGGCCTTGGTGTTGTGGCGTTCCACAAAACTTCCAGCTGGAGAATTCCCGTTGAACTGGCTCTTCTCAGGGTAACGTACCCTCGCCACTCCTGCTTCCCTTAGCTTCCCACCCCGGGGGATGCCATTTTAAGCTTTTCCGACACTTGGAGGTGTTCAGACCTCTGGTGCAGGTCCCTGGGCTGTTTGGGAGATTCGTAGAAACGGACTGTCTCTTTTTCCTGTTCCCTCCGGGAAGAGGAGCCCAGACCGCGGGTAGGCCTTCTCGGAGTTTTATCAGTCTGTAGCTGTGCTTCCACGCCCCTTCCGCCCCCTGCTTTTGTGACTGGTTGTCTATTGGTTGGAACTATCTTTCGTTTCTGATCTTTTGCTATTCCTATCATCGAGACACTCCATGTTTACCTAACAAAAGTCTAGGGAAAAAACCTGGTGTCTGTGGTTTAGCAAGTTGTGTTGTGTTTCTTCAGTGTATATTCAGTTTTCTTCTGGTTGGATCTGACTTGTTCTCTGGATAGATTTGATATGTAAAGATATTACTTCCTGTTAGAGATGGCAATAAAATTTTTAGGGTGTGTGTTTAGATTTCATATGGTTTACTGACCATATAAAGGATGTTGGAGGTCCAGATGGGTAGGGCAGTTCAGATTTCCTTGACATAGTTTTCTCCATTTATTTAACTTGGGGATTGAACCCAGGGTCTCCCACTGAACTATATCCCCAGCCCTGTTAGTTTTTCGATGATTGGGAATTGAACCTAGAACACTGCACATGCTAGGCAAGTCCTCTACCACTGAGCTCCCTGTATTAATGCAACAAGTACTTAACAGAGATCCCAACAATGTATAAAGCAGAAAAATCTCTTTGCTATTAGTGCTTACGTTTTAGTGGAAAAAGATGTGCAAAAAGTAAAATGTGTAGTATGCTGGGAGGTGAAAATCCTATGGAGGATAATATAAGAAAGGAATGACGAGTGTGGGTGGGATCTGTAATTTTACAATAATTGGTCTGGGAAAAACCTCACTGAGAAGCTAATTGAGTAAAGAGCTGAAAGAATTGAGAGATTGATTACCTTGTGACTATCTTATTTCCTGTGGAATTTTGACCCAGTGGACAAGTGGGGGATAGGACATAGATATAAATGGTTGTGATATTGATAGTTATGGTGATGATGGAAGTCCATAAATATCCAACTCAAATACCTTTAATTGATTTCTGTTTAACTCTGGAAAGTTAAATATTGAATTATATGTGGTTATATTACAACTCATAATTAACCCATAGGCCCTTTATGGATTTGTTTTTATCAAAGTATTATTGTTGGAGTAGTAAGTAACTTAAACCATCTTTTTCTTTCTGTCTTCCTTTTTTTCTTAACAGAATCTCACTATGTTGCCTAGGCTGGTCATGAACTCTTGTGCTCAAGTGATCCTCCTACTTTAGACATGTGCTACTATGCCTTGCTTTTTAATATCTTTGCTTGTCAGTTCAAAATCCTTCACTAAGGGTTTATTCTAATCCAGCTAGTGTAAAGTTTTTTCCTGATTTTCTGTGCAGTCTGCTTCTTGGGCTGGTCTTTCCTTTTGGGGTTAATGGACTATTGTGAATAATGCATTCATGAGAAGTCAGGCAGAGAAGCAGGAGTACTCTATGACCTTGTAGTTTCATATCTAGGAACCTTTAGAAATAATAATAATAATAATAATAATAATAATGATGATGTCTAGAAACCCCCACGTGTGTACATGGGTGTTCACTGAGGATTATTTATGGTAATTTTTTCAAATATCCTGTCATCAGTAAGGAATAGTTAAATAAATCATCATAGCTAAAGATAATGGAATTTTTAAAATTAAATTATTTATTTATTCTAATTTGTTATTCATGATGGCAGAATGCAATTCATTTCATGTTACACATATAGAGCACAAGTTTTCAAGTCACTGATTGTACACAAAGTATTTTACACCATTCATGTCTTCATATATGTACTTAGGTTAATGATGTCTAACTCATTCTACAATCATTCCTACCCCTTTACCTCCTCCTTTCCCCTCCTTCCCCTTTGCACTATCTAAAGTTCCATTCCTCCCATGCCCCCCCCCCCATCACCATTATGAGTCAGCATCCTCATATCAAAGAAAACATTCGGCCTTTGGTTTTGTGGGATTGGCTTGCTTCACTTAGCATTATATTCTCCAACTTCATCCATTTACCTGCAAATGCCATGATTTTATTCTCTTTTATGCTGAGTAACGTTCCATTGTGTATATATGCCACATTTTTTTAATCCATTCATCCACTGAAGGGCATCTAGGTTGGTTCCATAATTTAGCTATTGATATGGCTGTGTCCCTATAGTATGCTGTTTTTAAGTCCTTTGGGTATAAACCGAGGAGTGGGATAGCTGGGTCAAATGGTGGTTCCAAGTTTTCTAAGAAATCTCCATACTGCTTTACATATTGGCTGCACCAATTTGCAGTCCCAACAGCAATGTATGATTGTGCCTTTCCCCTCATATCCTCACCAACACTTATTATTGTCTGTATTCTTTTTTTTAAATATTTATTTTTTAGGTGTAGATGGACACAACACAATGCCTTTATTTTTATGTGGTGCTGAGGATCGAACCCAGGTCCCGCCCGTGCGAGGCGAGTGCTCCACTCCCGAGCCACAATCCCAGCCCTATAGTTTGTATTCTTGATAGCTCCCCTTCTGACTGGAGTGAGATGAAATCTTAGAGTACTCTGTTTATCATAGCTAAAGATAATGGAATTTTATATTGTCTTAAGAGTTCAGATTAAGAGGAGGTGTTAGGGCCAGGATGTATGTAGCTCAGTGATAGAAGCCCTGGGTTTTATCCCCAACATGGTTAAAAAAAATTGGTATTAGGTTTTAGGTTTTAGTTATCCTGTTAACAAAGATGCTTTCATTGGAAAAACCAAAGTCAAGCTGACATCAGCAATAAGAGGTTATTTGTTGGACTGAGGCTGTAGTAGCTCAGTGACAGACTGTTTGCCTACACATGTGAGGTGTTGGGTTTAATCCTTAGCACCACATAAAAAATAAACAAATAAAATAAAGGCATATTGTCCATCTACAACTACTAAAAAAAAAAATTAAAAAAGAGGTTATTTGTTGACAGCTTTAATAGATACATCCTGAGGTAGAGTGGCTTTATGACAATTTTCTGGCCCTGTGCATTGACTTCTATGAAACCACCTTCAGGGTGGTTTCTTGTATAGCTATAATAAGATGGATAGCTTCATCAAACATATATATATATATATATATATATATATATATATATATATCCATACATATACATATATACATCTATATGTATATATACACACATATACACATACATATATTCACATATATACATATATATGTGTGGTGTGTGTATCTATCTATCTATCATCTATCTATCTATATATATCCTTCATATCTAGCAGGAGCAAAAGCATCCTTTCCCTCATCATAGAAGTAGTGTCCTGAGTTATTGTAATTGGGCTATCTTGGAACCAATAATTAAAACCAGGAGATGGATTCCAGAGAACTGAGACTTGGGTTATAGTTTCTTATCTCTGAATTGATTGTATGATGTTGAGAATGGAATTTTCCTGTTGGACTTAAGACAATTAGATTTCACCTCCGATATTGGTGGTGAGGTCTGTTTCAACCAAAAAGCTTTACCTATTACACATGGTGGGGTATGGAATAGATTGCTCTTAAAACATACTGCACACAATGGGCCTGTAACCCTCTTCTTTCCTAGTGTGTGTATATATATATATTTGGTATTGGGGATTGAACCTAGAGCCTCTAGCATGCTAGGCAAATGCCCCACCACTGAATTATTTCCTAGTCCCCTTCTTTTATAGTATTAAGGTAACTAGCCTCTTTTTCCTCCATGCATTCCTGTTTTTATTAAAACCATAAGACATGTATATTCTCAGGATTCTAAGTTGAAAAAGTGTGTTTACACTGCTTATTATTTATAGAGGCCTTTCATATTGCTCCTCAGATTGCAAGAAAGATGTAGATGGAGGAGAGAGGGTGGAAAAGGAGAGGGGAAAGAGAGGGTGGGGAGGGAAAGGGAAATAGTATGGGGACAGAGAATGGGAATGAGAGAATGAATTTTGTGCATGTTGAGAGAAGCAAATGAAATTTAGAATATTGTACCCCACTCTTAACATATCTGACCTCAGTGCTATTCTGTTCCCTGTAGGGGCCCTTATTAACTGATATGCATCCTCCTGGATTGTTTTTTACATTTACATATACAGTCAGCTCTCTATGAATCCATGGGTTATCATCATCATCAGTAGATTCAGCCTATCATGGATCAAAAATATTCAGAAAAAATTGTGTCTGTACTGAGCCATTTTTTTCTTGTCATTATTTCCTTAACAATATAGTATAACAATTACGTGGCATTTACATCGTATTAGGTATTATAAGTCATCTAGAGATATAATATATATAGGCTATATTGCAAATACACCACCATTTTATATGGGACTGAGTATCTACTCATTTTGGTATGTGGGGGGTGGTCCTGGAACTAATCGCCCATAAGTACTGAGGGGCAACTATACACAGAATTTCATCTTATATTAAAATTTAAATGGTAACTATTGCTGACAGTTTTTCCTGTTTCACTTAGCACATATCATAGAGAACTTGTTAATACATAGTTCTGTTTTCTTTTACTGTCTGCTTAGTTTGCTATATTGTGGATGTGTCATTGTTTAACTATTAATTTACTAATTGCTTTCAGTATTTTTGCTATTATAAATAGTAATGAGCAACCTTTACTTTTTTGTGTATATATGCCAGTATTTCCACAGCGTAGGTGTAGTTGCTAATTTGAAGGTTATGCAGATTTAACTTTTGGTGTCTTCTACAAAACATCTCTCAAAATGGTAGGACTAGTTTTTTTTGCTCTCTTGCAAACACTGTAAATGATCAGTTTTTTAAATTTTTGCCAATAATGGAATAGCCAGTTGTGTTGACCCCATTTATTGAACAGTTTGAACAGTGATTAGAATGCTTCCTTTATCCTATGT